CTCTAAACTTCGTAGTGTCTAAACATTGTTTATCCGACCTATCTGATGCCACCATATATGATTGAAAAAAGTAAACAAAGCTATCTAGCGTCACATGCATGGTTGATCGAAGGGCACAACGGTTTTTAGTTTCGCTGATTCTATTACATTGAATAGATAATGCTGCACAGCAGCCGAGTGTATGGCAGAAAGGTAGGCAACTCACTAGCACTATCGAGCCGTGACATAGAGCATGCACAAAGCTCTCTAGGGTCGCATACTGTAAAAGACATAGTAGGATGAGCGCGATTGTGTGGATGTGGATGTGGATGTGATTGCCGAATAAGACAACAACACGAACTCCGCACACTCACACGAATGCCCACATTTAGATCCACGTCCATACCCACACAACTTTTACATCAAATGTTGAATCGAGAAAAACTCGACTTGTGTGTTTTGGTCGATTACAATAAAACATTTATTGACGGTAAGGATTCAAACAAGAATATTATTATTGATATAAAATCAATAAATAAATTTATATTTAATATATCTTCTATCAATCAAATTATTTCTTGTGTTGATTAATTTACAGATCAAACGAAAGTTAATGTCATATTTATTTACCTCAAGTGATGAACATCATTTTTGAATATGATATTATAAATGCTTTTTCATCTTACCGAGCATCATCCTAATAAAACTTATGATGATCATATCGACCAATTTCTAATTGACACCAAAACATTATTTACCGAATAAAGTTCATTTTTTATATCGATTATTGTTGACGAAAAAAAGAATGACAAACAAATTCATAAAAGATATATTTCCTCATACAAAAGTATGCTAATTTTGGTCAAGTATCATTTAAATGAAATTACGGAAAATTAGCTTGACTACAATGGAATTTTAATGTATTAAAGTGAAAAGAAAAACAATAAAGTTGCAAAAAACAGAAACGTATTGTAATTCAAAATGATCTTCTATATGCAAACTTAAATAAAGAAGTTTACAAGAAAAGTTGTCGTGCACAAGAAAAGAAAAACATTTTCTATGAAATAGCAAATGTCGATGTAATTTGCTCGACATAGCATAATCTGAAATTTCTTGTTATACTTGTTTTCCAATCGAAGGCAAATTTTATTAAATATTATGATGAGTTTGTTGAGAAACATCTATGTGAGATCCTCATCGTCGACATTTGAGGTGTTTATTTGTCATAGGATAACGAAAACCTGATGATAAGTTCGAATCTTTCGATGTAACATTTTTCTTTCATTCTATTTCTTCTCACAAAATAAAAAATACAGAGCATCGAGTCTAATATCGATCAGGATATGAATGTGAATTTATTCTTCACCTACACCTTAATCATCGTAGATCATTCATTTATAGGAATCACTCTGCATAACTAGCCACACATTCTGCATCCGAATTACAACATAAGTCAAAAAGGAATTGTTTGAACTCCGATAAGAATATCATTGAGTTATTCTACCAGAATCATCCAATGATTTATATAAAAGTCTCCAAATTCGATAAAACATGTAAGGTTTGTAAAGTCTTTGGTGTCGTGTTGATCATTTTGGTAATAAAAAAGTGTAAATTTTATCAAGACATAGTAAAGTAGTGGTTGCTCGAATAATACACACATATGTATGCACATAGAGATAGCGTTAGCAACAGAGTCGACTTTTTCTTATCCGAATTCACTTAATGAATCTTCTTACCTGTTTAAATGACATTATTCTATTAGCTCTCAAAACACAGTGACTGTTTTAGTATACCCACTTCAAGACAGTCTAGTGCCTTCGTTGGGTTACTTCTCATTTGCGATAATAAGTCAAATAAAATTTTAAAATATTATTAAAACTTTAAACTTCAGTCAACATGAAAGTTAAGAAATTAAACTATTTGTTTTTCCAAAACTACAAAAACTTGATTAATTTAACTTTCAAGTTTTAATTGATAAATACTCATATTTAACAATTCTTGCTTTCAAGTTTGAATCACATAAAGTTTAGGAAGATGTAGAGTTCGCTAGAATATCTAGCATATATCCAATTGAATGTAGAAAAGATTTAGAAGTGTCGCGTGTAGTATGTTTGTAGCTAAATGAATACGATCTGAAAGTGTCACTTGTCATTTTGGAAGATTAGTATAAAAACACTGCAGGAAAACAAAATTAATTTCACATTTCAAGCGATTTGACTAAGAAAGCTTTATCAGCTCTGCATTAAGAATGAATTTTGCTGCTTCACCAAAAAGAAGAATTTTATAAATGAGCTGTAGTGTCGAATAAATTGTTTTAAAAAGCACCAATGAAATTTTGTAGCATTTTAAACTAGATCAGTGAAATAGGTTGATCGCGTGAGATTTTTTTATAAGATCTTTTTTTGGAACGTAGCAAGATCATCGATTTAGTTTAAGTGCTATGAATCTTTATCTTAATCAGGAACGCTTTGTAGGAAGGTGATTCACTTAATTCACATATTGAAAAATGAACTCCAATACAACTCAAGCAAGGGGTAAAAAATAATGAAAGTTTTGATGAAGATCGAAGGAAGATTTTGAATTGTTTCTCTCATGTTCTACAAACATGATTCAATATCCATTCAAAGTGTAATATCAGTGGACACTTGTTTGAAGAGAACTCGGGTACCAACACCTAACTCTTGTCCCGTTTACATTTTTTCCACAGTTTTCATTGTTGAAAAATTATATTTTTAGGTTCTAATTAGTTTCTTTTCCATAGACTGTGGATCTGATGCTATTATAGAAACTAAATATAGTTTCAATACAAAAACAGACTTATGACATTCATATTGGTAATTAGGTCTAATGAACTCTAAATATGAGACTTAATATAGAAGAAGAAGAGCACTACGTAGTTTAGCGTATTCTACTAGTAAGAGCTGAATATATTGAAACCCTGCAAGCATATATCAAGCAAACTCTACATCTTTCTAAACCAAAATATAGAAATTACATAGCAAACAAGAGCGAATTCTACAAATTATAATTTTTCAATCAAAACAGCTGTTAAAATTCATTTCAGTAAAAAATATTAAATAATAAAAGCAAACGATTTTAATTTTCGGAGTTCTTTTCAAGAAATGAGTTTTAACGAATTAAAAATCGAAAATTTGACACTTTCAATCGCTTTTAATCTGAAAAATTCAAATGAATTTGAACATGAAGTGAAATTTAATTTAATAAAGTTTGCATTTTCGACTGTATGTTCGCAAATGAGAGGATATCATTTTAATAATATGGTAAATCAAGAAAGGATACCCTAGTCAATCGTTTCTGTAAAAGAAGTATCTCCTAGACTTGCTTAAAAATAATCTTGTTAAAACAAAAAATTCTTTCGATTTCATCCGTAAATATCTATTAAATTTCTTACTTTGAAAACATAGAAGTAGTGTTGTAATGCGCACTCTTACTTTTATTGTATGGCGTATCTCAAAAAAATAGAAAAAGGATAACACGTATTGACAAAAAAAGCGCATGATAGTTTGAGAAAGAAAAGAACACAACTTCATCAAATTTTCATCGTGATGTTCGTCAAATATTTACTTGTTTCAAAATGAAAGATATGAGTCACTGTTAAAAAAATTTTTTACCTTCGAATCAAATAGAGGATTCATACGAGTATCGTTGCAACTAGTCAATATAAGGGTAGGGTGTGAGTTTGAGTGTTCGCTTCATTCACACTCAAACACGGACCGAGAGTCAGACAGAGACACACGCTCACACCCATATCGACACCCTGCTCGAGATTTTCAAGATGAGCTTTTTCGAACACGAGTAGTAACTTTTCTACAATTTAGACAAGTTTTATTTAACGTTATTATATTAGATAGAAGATCTATGACTGAAAAAATTCAACTTAAAGTCTTTGAGAAGTCAATTTTAGATTCTGATTCTTCGATTGAAAAAACAATCAGTCAAGTATTATAAGAAAAAGAGCGATTTTTTTCAGAAATAGATTCTTTTTGAAGGTGTAGATGAATATAGGTCTAAAGATCTTTCTAATCTTTACCAACACTATGCCTACATCCTGATATGTCGATTTTTATAAAATTATTTCGTTAATAAAATAATACAGTTCTTACTGAAGTTATCTTAAAATTCTTTGTGAGAATAAAGTCATATTGTGCAAAAATAATTGAATCAATAAACTTCGATAAAGTCATAACAATTATGAAGAATCAGTTGGAAAATAAATATATATTAATTATTCTCAATCAATCGATAATAATCAAGGGGGAAAAAGCGGATCCTCGGATCCTTTGGATCCTCTGGATCCTTTTGGATCCTTTTGGATCCTCTTGGATTCTTTGAGATCCTTTTGGATCCTAGGATCTCAAAGGATCCAAAAGGATCCAAACTGGGATCCAAAAGGATCCGGCGGATC